AGGGCGACGAGGAGGCGATGGCGAGGACGACGTGGAGAACGCGAGGATAGCGAGGAGGAACAAGAGGACAAAACGAGGGGGAAGAGGAGCACAACGGAGGAGGCCGAAGAGAGCGAGGGCGCTCGGGTGCTCCCATCCGCATCCGTGCCCCCTCTTGGCACGCGGAGGCGTGGCAGGATGCCATGGGGCCGGCCATCCCAGACATGCTGAAGGGGCCCTGGGACACACAGATAAATACACACAAATAAAAGGATCCCCCATATTTCCCCATGTTTTCTGGGCTTCTGTCTTCCCCCATCACTGCCCATATTTTCCCATAGTTTCTGGGGAGTCGACGATTAATTGTGTCTGTGTGTTTTTTTCCCTCCTGACATGCGACGTCCTGGCGAGTCGGCTGCGGCATCGGAATGCTCGTCGGGCTTTAAAGGGTAGGAGTTCGAAGTCGCTTAGATCCCAGTTATCGTAGGCCGACTGTTGAAGGCGCACCGAGGGAGGAGGGAGTGAGGGAGGCAGGGAAGAAGGAGAATGGACGAGCCTCCCAAAAAGGCAGCGGGTCCAACAAAAACTAGACTATTAATCCTCGTTCCTGCGGGGTCCCCTCCCACAACCATTCTCTCAATCACTACCAAAAAGCGCATCCCGCTGCTGTGGATTATAGAGGGGATCTGGCGGGAGGGAGGGGGGGCATGGGAGGAGGGAGGAGGAGGAGGAGGAGGAGGAGGAGGAGGAGGAGGAGTAAGAGGAGGAGGAGGCAGCATCAAGAGCATGCGGAGCAGGCGGAGCAGGAGGCAGGAGGGGCAGAAAGCAGGACGAGGTCACAGTCTGGTGCTCCACTACCACCGCTGAGTGTGGGAGGTACGTGTCTTTCAGACGACCTCGACGCGCGCTGGCTGCAAGTACGCGTTGGGGTTCGGAAGACCGCCAGCCTCCTACCTACGTCGGCGGTGATGGTGGAAAATGCAACCATAAGGAAAGGGGAAAAAGGGGGGAGGAGAGGGGAGGGCGGAAGGAGCAGGGAGGGCGAGGAGTGGAGAGACAGAAGGGACGATGGTGATAAGAACAGGACCACAAGGACGATGAACCTCCCTCTCCTCCTCCTCCTCCTCCTCCTTCCTCCAACTCTTCTGCTGTCCCATATGTTTGTTAGTAGTATGCTTCATATTCGTCTCATTAACATTATTTCTATGTTCATACTTCTTCTTATTTCTCTTATGATTAGTAATCGTCTTTCCCTATTATTCAGCATCATCATCACCACAAGCATCAACATCAGCATCATCAGCGACATAATCATTGTTATCATCATCATCAGCATCATCAGCAGCATTATCATCATCCTCATCATATCAACCATCATCGTCATCATCATCATCATCATCATCATCATCATCATCATCATCATCATCATCATCATCCGCAGCAGCATCATCATCGTCATCACCATAATCATACCAATCATCAGCATCATCATCAGCATCATCAGCATCATCATCATATTCAGCATCATCAGCATCATCGTCCTCATCTTTAGCATCAGCTTCAACATCAGCAGCGTCATCAGCAGCAACATCATCGTCATCGTCACCATTCAATATCATCATCCGCATCTTCTTCTTCTTCATCATCATCATCATCAGCAGCATCATCATCATCATCTGCATCAACATCAGCATCAACCTCACCATCAGTGTCAGCATCATAATCAGCATCATCACGAGCATCATCGTCCTGATCATCAGCATTAGCATCATCGCCATCAGCATCAGCATCAGCATCATCCGCAGCAGCAGCACTCACCAACAGCATCATAATCAGAATCCGAATCAGCACCATCATCATCATCATCATCATCCTCATCAGCATCCGTATCTTCATCCACACTCTCCTCATCATCACCACTATTATCATCAGCAGCAGCATCATCAGTAGCATCATCATCGCCAGCATCATCCTCATCATCACCATCATCGTCATCATCATCGTCAGCCCTATGCTCGTCATCACCACCACCAACAACAGCACCATTACCATCACTATCAACAGCAGCAACGAGAATCATCACCGTCATCGTCGGCGTCATCGTCTTCATTATCATTAGCAGTATCATCATCATCCTCATCATGAACATCACCATCACCAGCATCAGCATCAGCATCAGCATCAGCATCAGCATCAGCCTCAGCATCATCGTGATCATTGTCATCGTCAGCATCATCATGGCTATCGTCGGCGTCGTCGCCATCATCGTCGCCGTCGTCAAAGTCGTCGTCGTCCTCAAGTCGTGGTCGTCGTCGTTATCATCATCAGCAGCATCATCATCACTACCGCCGTCATTGTCATCATCAGCATCATCATTAGTATCAGCACCATCATCATCGTCATCGTCGTCATCATCCTTTTCAGTAGCGGCAGCAGCATCATCATTACCGTCCTCATCATCGGCATCACCATCACCATCACCATCATCATCAGCATCATCATAACCCTCGACATCCTCATTATCACCAGCATCAGAATCAGCATCAGCTTCAGCATCATCGTGAGCAGCTTCATCGTCAGCATCATCATCATCGTCATCGTTGGCGTCGTCGGCGGCATCGTCGTCATCGTCGAAGTCGTGGTCGTCGTCAAAGTCGTGGTCGTCGTCGTCATCATCAGCAGCATCCTCATTACTACCGCCACCACCACCAGCATCATCATCATCATCATCATCATCAGCATCATCGTCATCATCATCATCATCACCATTATCATGATCACCAGCACCACCAACACCACCACCACCATCATCATCGTCCTCATCATCACCATCAGCAACAGCATCATCATCATCATCTTCATCATCATCATCATCATCATCATCATCATCATCATCATCATCATCATCCGCAGCAGCAGCAGCATCATCATCGTCGTGAGAATCATTATCAGCAGCATTGTCATCACCACCAACACCAGCAGCATCATTATCATCATCAGCATCATCATCGTCATCAACGACAAAATCAACCTCGTCATCAGTATCAGCATCACCAGTACAAGCATCATCAGCATCATCATCGTCATCATCATAATCAGTGACATCATCATCGTCACAACTATCAACATCATAATGATCATCGGAATCATCATCATCATCATCATCATCATCATCATCACCATCATCATCATCATCATCATCATCACCATCACTAGCATCATCATCATCAGCATCATCATCATCATCATTGTCAGCAGCAGCATCATCAGCATCATCAGAAACCTCATCCTCATCCTCATCCTCGGCCTCATACTCATCCTCGTCCTCACCATCATCATCAGCAGCATCATCAGCATCATCTTCGTCATCGTCCTGCTGATCAGCATCAGCGTCAGCAGCATCGGGATCAGTATCGTCATCGTCATCATCAACCTCATCCTCATCCTCATCATCAACATAATAATCAGCATCAGCATCATCCTTATCATCCTTATCATCATCATCATCATCATCATCATCAGATTCAGCATCAGATTCATCATCCTCATCCTCATCCTCGTCAACAACATAACCATCAACATCATCATCATCATCATCAGCATCATCATCATCAGCATCAGCATCATCATCAGCATCATCAGTGTGATCAACACAAACAGCAGCATCGTCATCATCCTCATCAGCAGCATCGTCCTCATCATCAGCATCAGCATCATCACCACCACCATCACCATCATCATCACCATCACCACCACCACCACCACCATCATCATCATCAGCATCAGCATCAACATCAACATCAGCATCATCATCATCATCATCATCATCATCATCATCATCATCATCATCATCATCATCCTTCGCCTCCTCCCCCTCCTCCACTGTTTCCTCCTCCTCCACCTCCTCCTCCTCCCACTACTCCTCCTCCTCCTCCTCCTCCCCTCCTCCTCCCCCTCCGACGACGACGACGACATCGTCGTCGACGACGACGACGTCGACGACAACGACGACGAAGACGACGGCGACGGCGACGGCAACGGCGACTGCGACGGCGACGGCGACGGCGGCGGCGGCGACGACGACGACGACGAGCCGAAGCGGCCCTGGGGGCGGACCGGCCGACGCGCTCTCCTTGCCGAAGGCGGCCTCCCGCGCCGCGGGGGCCGCTTGCCGCCGACAGAGGAGCATCACGATCGACGGTTGCGACGAGGACGGGGCAAGGAAGGGGGGGGAGGAGGCCTCCCTCGTCCTCCTCCTCCTCCTCCTCCTCCTCCTCCTCCTCTTCCTCCTCCTCCTCCTCCTCGGCCGGTCAGTCGGTCAGGCAAGAGGGTCGATGTCTATACTTAGGAAGGTGGGTACGTAGCGAGAAAGAGCAGGACGGAGACGGCGGCGACGAGGAATCCCAGGGTCCCCAAGGCCGCACGAGGGCAAGATCCAAGCCAAAGCACTCCCCCAGGAGGGGAGGCGCAAGGGAGGAAGAGAGAACAAGAGGGATAGCAGGAAACCGCATTGGAGGTGGATGAGCATGAGTAGGAGAGGGCCACAGGTCCAACGAGCGTCGCGAGCCGGATCAGGCAGTCCAGCTCCAATCCCTTAGCCACCAAGCTGCGCACAAACGAACGCTCATTCTGACATTATGACAAGGCCTAGGATACTTGTAGACCGACCCAAGCTCACGCAAAGATCAGGGCGAACTCCAACAAACTACGATCTTCCAGGCGAGAGACGAACTTGGGCAGCAGGAGGTTCGGCACTTCGCTGAAGGGAATCGGCTCTACAGCAGAATATCCCGTCCCACGGGTCGCTCTGGTCCATAATTTGTCTTAGTCACTGCCTCAGGAATGCACACAGTACTTTGAAACTACCAAAATCCGAGGCGGGAGCTCTGGAACGACTCGCGAAAGCGCTTCGAATGGCACTGTGGTCTGGCAAAGCTGCTTCTCGTGTGGTCTGGCAACTGCCGAAACCAGCCAGTCTGCCCCGAACAAAACTGCCCTCGCACACCCAGACGAAACGGCACCGACAACTCCAGAGGCTGCGACACGATCAGCTCCAGGTACTCCAGCACCTCCAGGGGTATCAGAAGCTCTGCCTGGACCAAGCCCAGTATCGAGATCTCGAGTACGAGGACGCGCCCAGGGCTCCAGCACTCCTCAGACCGGCAGCCGCAGACTGCTCTCCTCCCTGGCAGGCTCGCGAGGCCAATCACGAGCATGATCGGGAGCCTGGCCTGGAGCAGGTGAGCCACAGCCTGCGTGACGAGCAGCGTCCAAGGCCGCACCCGCGCAGGAGGGGCGGCACCCGCGGTGCTCGGAGTTGAGCAGGGACCGACCGTCCCGGCATTCCTATAGTCCTACCACGAAATGTTCTTAGAACCCAAAAATGTTCTAAGAACAAAAACAACGTTCTTGGAGCATCAACTCGATGTATTAAAACAAGACAATATCAACCAGAAATGTTCTAAGAACATTTCGTGGAAACCACAAGAGGTTCTTAGAACATTGTTTGGTAGGGCCGCGCACGCCCTGGCCAGGCTCTGGGCAACCCGAGCCCGAGCGCGGCGCGCCAGCGCGCGGCGCTCCGCCGCCGAGCGGCGTGGGCGCCCCAAGACGGCCTCGAGGCGCCCCAAGAAGAGGCCCAGGAGGAGGAGGAGGAGGAGGAGGAGGAGGAGGAGGAGGAGTGAGAGGAGGGGGAGGAGAGGAGGAGGGAGAGGAGGGAGGACGAGGAGGAGGGGGAGGAGGAGGGAGGGGAGGAGGGAGAGGAGGTGGAGGCGAATGAGGAGGAGGAGGCCCGTGAACCTTCTCCTCCAGAGGGCCAGCCCGGGACCCTCGCCCGAGCGAGGCTTCGGGGGGATCGGGGACAGGCAGAGGCGCGGGCCTCCTCGCGCAGGCTCGCGAGGCCCAAAGGGGCCCGCCAGAGCCGGCGCTCTCCTCCTCCTCCTCCTCCTCCTCCGCCTCTCATCATCTCATTCCTCCTTCCTCCTCCTCCTCCTCCTCCTCCTCCTCCTACTTCCTTCTACCTCTTCTCTACCTCCTCCTCCCCCCCCTCCTCCCTCCTCTCCTCCTCCTCCTCCTCCTCCTCCTCCTCAGCCTCCTCTTCCTCCTCCTCCTCCTCCTCCTCCTCCTCCTCCTTTTCTTCTTTCGTGCCGGCTCAGATCCTACCTAAGACAGCTGCTTTCATGAAATACAAAGAGAAACACAGAATCGCTCGAATGAAACAATTCCACCGTGAATGAAGAGACCGGCTCCGTCATGTAAATGCCCTTGCTCGCCAAGCGTAGGGTCTGTGCTTCAAGATGTGTCTGCGTGTGCGCTTCCAACACCCACGCTGCAGCCGAACATGTTCCAACACGAGCGCCTCCATCGCAGTGCGTGACGAAGTTTGCCTCTGTCAGGTCGGCGCTTGGATCGGCAGGGGGAGTCACCTCTTCCAAAGACTGTTCGATATCCATGGTCACGTTCACGAAATGGCCGGCGATCTTATTGAAATCGCGACTGCGCCACAAGATCGGGTCGACATGTGACTGCATAGAAGCCATACTACCCAAAATGATGTATCAGGACTCCGCGTCAATCGTCTGAAACTGGGCTGCAGGGAACAATCGGTAAGCGGGTGGACGCCCATAGAAACTTCCACCAAAGGCTTACAATCGCAGACGATGATATATCTGCGACGCGGGTTTCCCCCTTCAAAATAATCACCCACAATGGTGCCATCCGTATGTTTCTCTTGGACGTTCTGCAACGTGTGGAATCTGCTGCGAATTATTCCTATCTCCGCATGCTGGGGAACTTTGGTTTCCCCGCCACCGCTGGCCCTAAGTTGGGCAACCCATACTCCTTACAAGCATCAGCCGCAAACTGCCCGAATTGGCGCATCCAATGCGCCTCTGTAGGAGAACCATCTCGTCTTGTCCGCGAGTCGACCCCCAGGACGCCACAGAACATATGATCCCAGTGTGTCTAGGTGCCAGCAAACGCATGCAGCAAGTGTTCCCTCTTACGCCGATTGAAGCTATTTCCACTGCATCGATGCTTCAATCCCTCGCACCAAAGACGGTTACGAAATTGACAAGAATGTGTTGAATAATTGTGTGGTTCAGGTAATGGGTACGACAGCTCTCTCCAAGCATATTTGCATACAGCCCGTAAACTCTGATGTACAACGGCGAAACGGTTAACTGAATCCTCCTCCTCCCCCTCCTCCTCCTCCTCCTCCTCCTCCTCCTCCTCCTCCTCCTCCTCCTCCTCCTCTCCTCCTCCTCCTCCTCCTCCTCTCTTCCTCATCCTCCTCCTCCTCCTCCTCCTCCACCCTCTGCACCCCCTCCTGCACCCCCTCCACTGCCCTCACCCCTCTCAACACCTGCCTCCGCGCCCGCCCCCGCCCCCCCCACCCAAGTTGGTATTTCCCACAATTCCTGGCATCCCAAGGCCCGTGACCGAGCCATAAAATACAACGGAAAATGAAAAGCTGGACCTCGGGCAGGGTAGGCGACCACACGCGGGCCCCACCCCTGCAGATCGATGCCTGGAACATCGGCGGGGGGGAGGCCACCCTCCGCCGCCCTTACCCTTCATCCTCCTCCTCCTCCTCCTCTCCTCCTTCTCCTCCGCCTCCGCCTCCTCCTCCTCCTACTCATCTCACTCCTCCTGCTCCTCCTCCTCCTGCTCCTCCTGCTTCCTCTGCTCCTCCTGCTCCTCCTTGCTCATCTGCTCCTGCTCCTGCTCTGCTCCTGCGTCCTCGCTCTCCTCCTCCTCCCTCTCTCCTCCTCCTCCTCCTCCTTCCTCCTCCTCCTCTCCTCCTCCTCCGCCTCCGCCTCCTCCTCACCCTCCTCCTCCTCCTCCTCCTCCTCATCCTCTCTCTCCTCCTCCTCCTCCTCTCCTCCTCCTACTCCCATCCCCCCTACATCCCTCCTCCCATCACTCCTCCCATCCCTCCTCCTCCTCCTCCTCCTCTCTCATCCTCTCCTCCTCTCTCTCCTCCTCCTCCTGCGGCTGCTCCAGCTTGCTCCCGCTGCTCTCCTGTATCCTCCTCCCTCCTCCTGATCCTCCTGCCTCCTTCCTGCTTCTTTCTGCTCCTCCTGTCCCCTGCTCCGGCTCCTGCTCGTCCTCCTGCTCATCTACTTCCTCCTTCTCTTCCTCCTCTCCTCCTCCTCCTCCTACTCTCCTCTCCTCCATCCTTCCCCTCCTCCTCCTCCTCCTCCTCCTCCTCCTCCTCCTCTTCCTCCTCCTCCTCTTCTTCGTCTTCGTCGTATTACCATTATTCTCATTAGTATCACGATTAGCATTCGTATTATTAGTATTATGATTGTGCTTCTTATTCTTGGCTTTAGTATTCTTATTGGGATTATTGGTATTATCAGTATTATTAGTATGCGCATTAATAGTAGTAGTAGTATTAGTGTTAGTGTGAGTATTCTTATTAGTAGTAGTATTAGTAGTAGTATTATTCTTAGTAGTATTATTATCATTATTATTAGTATTAATATTATTAGTATTAGTGTTCGCCGTCTTATTCGTAGTAGTATTAGTATCCGGCGTCGTAGTAGTATTATTCTTCTTCGTATTAGTATGATAACTGTTGTTATTAGTTTTCGGAGCAGTGTTATTCTTCTTATTATTACTATTCACATTCTTATTCTTAGTATTATTATTAGCATCAATATTATTAGTAGTATTCGTCTTCTGCTTCGTCTGCTTCTTCGTCGTATTATTCGTCGTAGTGTTAGCATTCGTCTTCTTAGTGTTCTTCTTATTAGTATTCTTATGATTCGTATTAATAGTAGTATTCGTCTTCTGCGTCTGATTATTCTTCGTATTATTATTCGTATTCGTCTTCGTATTATGCTTAGTCTTCCTCTTCTTATTCTTCTTTTTCCTCCTCCTCCTCCTCCTCCTCCTCCTCCTCCTCCC